ACGATCAGCCCGATAGCCCGTTTTGATGACCACTTTTGACTGAAGCATCGTAAAACGACCAACAAGCATCCCCTGCATGTCGATGTCATCTTCTCTTTGGGGACTTCAATCACTTAAGGCTGTGAGGCGAAATGAGGATAAAAACCTTCCTCAGCCCGGGGCGGTTGAAGAATTACTCTTCAAGAAAGGTACTATCGAACGTGAGAAAAGGTTACCCATTGGCATTGCATTACGTGATACATATTTCATACTTAATGGTGAGAAACTTCAAAATTGTGTTTGACAGGTATGCTGTGGTCCAGACATTCATGGGATTTATCGAGGTTGATGCTGAAGTAGAGGGTTTCTCAAACACTCGTCATCAGTGGAGCCTCCGTTGTTCTTTTCAGCACCGACTTGACCCAGTATGTGCAGCCCCCTAAGCAAGATCTAAAAAGGTACCAATAGAGGGAAAATTTGAGCAAATCTTTAAAGCCTAACAGCTCTGACTTTTGAAAAGAACGGTTTGTGGAAAGTAGGTGATATCCTCTAATTCTGTGTTTGTGCTTGCCTTTTAGGGGAAAAATATTTGGAGAAAGATGCGAGCCTAATTGCATGCTAGTGGCGTCCTGCTGTTCGTTCTGCCGATTTCCACTAAGCACTCAAATATATTCTTTTTTCCTCACAGAAGCTTAAATGGCCGCAAACCGGCAAACTGTCGTCGGCAATTTGCACGGGAGGGTACGAATGTCCGGTGTACTTCGAGTAGCTACAACCATGACAGCACTTACGTCCGGTTGGAGTACCAGGTGTGCTTTGGCTTTGCGGAAGAGCTTGGCGAGATCTACGGCTGTGACATGGAAATAGACATGCGTCTTTGAGGCTGAACATACAGGAGAGCTGCTTTTCTGATACATTACCTATTGGCAAAATGGCAGATAGAGTAAGTGGCAGGACGGGATGCTCTGGTGAAATGCTCACGCGTCACAGCTGAGCAACCAGCGTTTCCCTGACTCCGCACACCGGCCGTGGTTTATCCGAGTTTTGACACACTTGTCCTGGACTGGACCATGGACGGTGCACCGTGGAATGGGGCTATCCTACCGTGGCTGGACATTTAGGCCCGTGTTACCCGCCGCAGTTGAGTTTTTGGCAGCTGGGGCACTGTCTCAGAAACAACTGATCTGCCGTAAAGGGAAAACATGTTATTTGTTTAAGTTAGCCGCGGCAACGTGTCTCATTTCATCCACATCGTCCATCTCCAATTTTCTGCCGCATACGGCCGTATTCCAGCTTCCGTCTTGCCCCGTAGGCGTCACAAAGCGGAAAACGCAGGATCTGGTTTTTCAGATTGTTTTAGTCCAGATGCCATCAAATGCAAATGGGAACATTGCTTCGGGTACTAGTGACGATTATTTCTACTCACATATCGTAAATTACAACATGCCTCGTTCATTTGTTGCTTCATATGTCTGCAAAGCCATAAATCTCTGTGTTCCTAACGTTCTAATGTTCCTAAAGTCCCTGTGTCTGTAACGTCCAGATGTTCCTTGGGTACCTTTGTTCCTAACGTCCCCATGCTCCTAAAGTTCCCATATTCCTGAAGTCTCCTCGTTTCTGAACTGCCTATGATGCCACTATTTCATAATGCATATGGCTGACTGCCCACTTCACGTTACTACCACCCACCAATCCCAAGTATTTTCCTGACGTCACTCGCTCAATTGAGTTTGGCGTCCTCCTACCGCCGACTCCTGAAACAATAGTCCATTCACCACCTTCGTCCTTGCCCCTCTAGCTCTGGGCCTCTGTCGTAAGCAGTCGATGGTGTGAGTGGGTCTAAAAACATGGGACGCATATGGGAGAGCCATCTCTCGAACATCCTAGACTATGTTTACGATCAGCTGAGCTAAAAAAAACTCCAGCATGTCGAGACCGTCGAGTCGATTGTGATTGTCGGCATGTCGAGTAAATTGTGATACCTCGATCGACCTCGCGTTTGAAAGATTCCGGACGCCCTACCTAACCTAACGCTGGTTGGCATGATCTATTGATTGCAGAGCACCTTACATTTGGCGGTCTGCCATGCGCGACACACCTGTTTTTACGTATTTTGGCAATACCCAAGAGGCGCCGGCTATCTTTTGGCTTGACCAAAGTGGTTTTAGTCGCAATATTAACTCTCACCCAGATTCAGCCTTCTTCCACAAGGTGGATCAACAGTCCGGGCTTAATGCGGCCCGTGCCATTTCCTTATTAAGAGCGATAGAGCCTTGCCGGAAAGACCAATCGATTATTCTAAACATGGTCTCATTTCTAGGCTGTTTACTAACCCATTGTTCCTAGTAAAAGGTTATTTTTCCTCAGCACTTGCACTTGTTAGTCATACGTCCCCGTATTTGCAAAAGAATGCTGCGTACCGACACAGCACATAAACAGACGTGTTCCTTGTTTAACTCTGGTAGGAAGGCCAATTGAACCCTCGTAAGGGTTTTATAAATCAATTTCGAGCGGTCTTTTGGTGTTAAACGTGGGATGTATCCGTCAACGCGCTGAGCTCAGGCCGGTCAAAGTCGGGCCGTTGCTGTTAGCGCAGACAATTTATTAGGGATCATTCAATCTGATGTGACAACGAAGTGCTAGACAAAGCCATACATCTCTGAGATGGTTCCTTAGACAGTAAAACAACTGACTTTAGGAGTACAACAAATTCCCTTGACTTAGCTTCATGTATGAAAGTCAGACCGAGGTCAAAAGTGACCTGTTTTTTTTGTACTGGATAGCTGTCTTTAAGAAGTAGTTTATGATGCATATTTGAACAATCTGAATAACAGGAACAGTAACGGAATCTTTTACGGACTTCTCAAAAATTAGAATAGGTCGCTGACCTAAACACACGCAGTGGAGCCGGGGAGCAAATGCACCCCCACCCCTCCTGTTTTCCGTAAATATTTCCGGAGTAAATGCGCATATCTGTATATTTTTTGGTCAACCTGCAAATGAAAGTCTAGCGCGTCGTTTAAAGTAAAAAAGAAAAAATCGACCGGAAGTTGTAACGTTACGGGTTGATAAAGCCAACGACATGGCCAGCCTCTGAGCATGGGAGAAGGCGCTGGTACGCTGACGGTATATCTACAGCAAAGAAGTGTTCCTGACAACACTGGCGCCTTTTTGATGCGTGCTGGTACACGTTATAATGTAAAGATCCCGTTGGGTCTCCAAGGTCTTTTCAGGTCGAGTTCACAATAAGTCAATGGGATCAATCTAGGTCAACCTCGTGGTTGTCATAAGCACCAATACGAAAATGTGAGTCGTGTCATTGTGCTAAGTCAATTCCGACGTGTGTGTGTCACTGGGGCTTTATGGCGCACTCAGCTAGTGAGGCCATATAGCGTCGCCTGCCTCTCACCCTGGCAGGAAGGGCGGGCACCGCGGGGAATCGAGCCCCGTCAATTCCGACGTACCGACAACTAGTGACTTTTGCTCCCATGAAGCAAATCGTTTGTATGTTTCATTAATTACTATGGGGGCACCTCGGCTGTTTGTTCAGAAAGTCGGTTGCGCTCAGCCGCGCCCGCCCGGTCGGTCTGGCAATCGGTAGACCAACCGCCCCTCTCTCGATCGAGCTCAGATCAAACGCTACATTTGTATGGTGTCGCACACCATGTCAACAATATCGCGTTGTTCCATTTCAGTGCATTTAAACAAAATAGCAGCGATTCACTAGGATGACAAGCCAAGCCACTCAAGACATTCGAAATTAGCATATGCTTCCTTATTTGACCCTAAAGGTAAAAGTCTAAAGTCATGAGTTTTGCACGCAAAGTATTTGCCTGTAGCATCGTAGTACTCACCCACCCTGTGAGTTTTGTTATTCTTCCTCTTACGGTTCTTGAGATGGTAGTGTAGCGGGGGGGGGGGGGGGGGCGAGATCCACCCCATCCCTCCACCGCGTGTAATTTTCACAGGCTTTCCACTGCGCGTGTAAAATGACCCATATCAACTCTTCATTTAAGGAACGTACCAGCTAACGTGGTTTTTAATGCTTATTCAAATCCGGAAACCAAAAACTCCTCCGAAATGTTTGGTTACCATGACCTTCTAGAGGTCAAACAAAGCCGCTGGTCTAAAATGCAGACCATTGAACTTTTGCTTAGAACGGGTATCCAGATTCAAGGCGGTTGCATGAGGAGGTCTGAGGGCACTTTTGACACTGATGATCAGTTTCACTTCTTCATTTTTCTCGAAGCTCATGACGTACAGACCTATAATTCTGACACCAGTGAGCTCATATATCGGCCAACTCACCTTCTGAATTTGGTGTCTCTAAATCTCTCAGTTTTTAGCTCTCAGGGGATTGAATTGCCCCCTCTCACCAAAGCGGAGGGTATTCAACCGGCCACCCGGACTAGTATTATTTACGCGTACCTTGATATGTAGCTTGTATTCGCGCCTTAAGCTATGCATAATGCGCGATACCCGCCTATTGCATGTTTTTCAGTCGTTCCCCATTTATGTGGAAAATATCTCACGAAATGTTTACAGTTTTAACTGTCACTCGTACGCACGGGACAGAAGATAATCGCCGTGCTTGTCTCATATTTACACTGATATGCTGTGCATAGCTTTTATTGGGGCCAGTGTTGGATACT